AAAAACAGAGGGCACCAGCCACACATCCACATCCCCTCCGGCACCAATCTTAATTTTCAAGGCCCCCCCCACACACACACACACATTGAAATGTCAGCATAGATCACAAGGAAGTGAGGCAGGGCAGCCAGAAACGAGCGTTGCGTATCTGGGGGACACAAATTTGGCAAGTCTTTCTAAAATAAATCTTACAAATGTTATCATTGTGGCCAACCTTCATGCTGCAACTGCTTTATATAATCAATCAAAAGCTTCAGAGCTGACTTTGAAAGTTGCTTATTTAAAGCAAACTAGGAGAAAAGTGCTTTTTCATAAGGAAATAAAAGCTGTTCCATATTGTGCTTATTTATATGATTTATACACAGGACAATCTATTAAACCAGGAAGAGTGGTGAAGTAATTATTCATATCGTTTACGTAAAAGCAGTAGCACCATTTTATACTGTAGAAATGCTTTATTTATAAGTAAAACATCTACATGCAAATAATCGTTAAGCTAAGGTCCAAAAGTATTACCACGAAACCTACTTACAGTAAGAAAGTGGTACATAATAGTGCACAATGACAATTTTCACTGTTTTATATACCATTACAATTACTGATGTAATAACCTATACACATTGTTTTAATGTTATATTAATGTTAATGTAGCTAATTGTAACTACTGTATATGCTGTCACATGCTGAATCTGAATTTAACAAAACTCCTGAAATGTGATCATTTGTACTGGAAACCCCCTCACCGTAGTGGTAGGTTTTTCATTTATTTGAACAAAATAAGAGTTTAAGCATTACCACCATTAAATCAGAAGTGCTTTGGAATTCTTATACTCTTACAATCCCTGCATCTCCCAGCAAATAGGGACAAACAGGCAGGGAGTCAACTAAACGGAAGTGGCAGCAGCAGCAATATAAGCTAAAGGAATACAGGTGGTGATGCTGACACACAGTCCGTTTGTGTCTTTAGATGTGGACAAGCCTTGCAGAATTGTGGCCGCCCTCTCGCAGGTTCAGGGGGGGTCGGTGTATTGGCTTTCTGTCTGCTTGAGTTTACGTTGGCAGTCAGCGTAGAGGGAAGTGAAGAACTGCTTGTGCCCAGCCTAGTCACTCCCACTTCCCCAATACAAGATACCCCACCTCACTCAAAAGACTACAGCTCCCTTCAGATTCCTCTTTTTACACTGTTGCAAACGTGTGTTTTTCTCTCTCTCTCTGTGTGTGTGTGTGTGTGTGTGTGTGTGTGTGTTCACTCTCCCAGTTTTTTTTTTCCCCTTCCCTTTTGCCTGGACAAACATTTCCTTTCTGTAAACACTGGAGAGCCAGGGACACCGCAGCTTCCTGACAAGCCTGAGTACACACTCACTCACACACACATGCACACATTCTTAAACATAAACACAATCTTTGCCCTTCAGTCTGGCTCGCTTTCTTTGACTCCTGCACCTCTTCGTATGCAGATAACTGCAGGCATAATTCACACGTTCTCACATACACACTCAGCAACAGATACACACCAGATACACTTACACACATTTGTAACACAAACGCCACACTGTCGCCCTTTTCTCTTCCTCCTGCCATCCCTTTCTGTGGCATGTCATTTCTCTCTCTCTCCCTCTTGCTCAAGCACCTTTTTTCTCTCTCTCTCACACACACACACACATGCACACACACTCCAGCTAAAGGCTTACTTGCCCCATGAGCAGTGACAAAAGAGAGTGAGTGCCCAGGGAAGGGGAGAGAGAGTCAGTCTGTTTGGAGCTTGAATGAGAGGGATTTATAGAATGTCAGGTTGGAAGCAAGGGAGCCCAGCACTGGTTGTGATGGATTTCAGGATGACAGAGCTTCCAATGTAAAGCTTAATGCACATGGCTCTATGTGTGTGTGTGTGTGTGTGTGTGTGTGTGCACTTGCACCTGTGTTTATAAGAAGTTGCTGAACATATACATTTTTAGCCAGAACAGTTATTTGGACCAAGCACAGTAGAAGGGTTAATCTAGGCCCACGACACACACTTTCTCTGTGCGTCTCCAGCTCTAGCCTCCTGGGTTGTCGGCGCATCACATTATCTGAATATCATCAGGTCAGGTTACACACCAGAGCAGATCAGTTGCAGGTATTGATATTACATTTATTGCCTGCAGCTTTATTAGTTAACTGGATGTTATTACCGTAGATTGATCATACTCACACACACAAACATGCACAGTGCTCTGCTGAACACAGCCAAATATCCACATCCAATATTATGTGCTCATTACACACACACTCGCACGCAAGTTTCATTAGTTTCCGATTAAATTCTTACTGCCACATGACATTTGAATATGGAACTATCTGGCAATAACACCCTAACTATTGATCCTGTTATTATCATTAAAGCCTTCCGCCGTCTGTCACCAGCTCTAACACACTGCTATTACATTACAGTGGTGTTTTGAGGGATCATAATGAATGGAGCCTGCTGGCTACCTGCAACCACGGTGGACTAATTGGCTATTCCCCACAGGAGCGCTCTTGTTTCAGCAGCCGCGGTAATTGCTTGGTACAGGAGCATTTCCTAGTGCAGCAAATACACACGAGCAGCATCTCCTTTGACTTATTAGGGGGGGAAATGGCATTTATGAATGTACTTTTGGGCCAGCGGGAGAAATATGAAGGGATATTTTCAGACCTCAAGGAAGTTAGTGTGTGTGTTTGTCACCTAACCCATTAAGTAGCCCATGGTGCAATGCACTGGCCAAAAGTAAATATGGACATGGTAATGTGTGGCAAAGTGTTTGTTTGCAAGGTTATGTGTGCACGCTGGTTTCTGGAATGACATGTGGTTCCTCTCTGACCCGGTGGTCTGCAAGTATCAGGAAGGCATATCGGTGCGCTCCATGGGTGGCAAACATGCACACACAGTGGTGGAAAGTAACTAAGTACATTTACTCATGTACTGTACTTGAGTACAATTTTGAGGTAGCTGTACTTGAGTATTTTCATTTTATGCTACTTAGACTTCACTACTTTCTAGAGGCAGATATTGTGCTTTTTTTTTTACTCCACTACATTTATTTGATCATTTTAGTTACTAGTTCCTTTTCAGAATCAGCCAAATAAAACTAAATACAGTGTAACCATAAGATTTTATTGATCCCTGGTGGGAAATTAGCAGGCTGCCCTAGTTAACAGTAGCTCTGCCTTTACCAGCTGCAGCATTAAATGTGATGTGCACAACAATACATCAACAATTAGATCATTTTAGTTACTAGTTCCTTTTCAGAATCAGCCAAATAAAACTAAATACAGTGTAACCATAAGATTTTATTGATCCCTGGTGGGAAATTAGCAGGCTGCCCTAGTTAACAGTAGCTCTGCCTTTACCAGCTGCAGCATTAAATGTGATGTGCACAACAATACATCAACAATTATAGTCCAATAATGTGGTATACATTAATGTGAACTGTGCCATTCTGCATAAGGAGTACTGTTACTTTTAGTACTTTAAGTCTATTTTGATCCCAGTGCTTTTGTACTTTTACTTGGGTGACATTTTGAATGCAGCTTGTAAAGAGTATTTTTACACTGTGGTATTGTTACATAAGTAAACAATTTGAGTACTTCTTCCACCACTGCGCGCACGCACACACACACACACACACACACCTGTGCATGTGAATGGCCTCTCTGGTAGGGATGAGAATGATGACACATTTGAACGAAGCATTTGCGATTTAATCCAACTTGTGTGTAGATACCACACAAGCATGCTCTCTATAGACTGAGTACTTTTTCCATCAGGCTACCAAGTACCAGCCATTTGGCCAGAAAGACGTGCACACACACATATATATACACAGACTCATACACAGAAACAGTAGCTCTGGGGAGCGGCTTGTCATTATTGACAGTGAGTAGAGACTTTTCCTGATGGCGAGGGCACAGGCTTATTAAACATGCTGTGTAAACACATCTAGCATAGCAGCCTTTCACCCCCAGTTTAACAACCTTGTTAATTAACAGCAGAGCACAGGGACACTGAAAAATAATCGTAAGGACTGTCCTGTTATTAAGTTATCAAAGAAGTAATAGACATTGATGCTACTTTGAGACCCTTTAGCAAACCACAGGTAGCTGAGTTACACTGAGAATCTTAGAAAAGCAGCAGTTAGATAAAGGTATCAGGTAGCGAAAGGTATCAGTACCCATGTTAGAGAAAGAAGAAATAGACAGAAAGGGCAGTTTGGGAGAATGTTCACTGATTGGGGAAATCAAATAGAAGAGAGTGACAGAGAATTGGACAGAGATTCAGGCTTTATGTGCAGATGTGACAAGCGGGAGCCCTGATTTCACATTTCACATGCATAGACACATGCATACACAGGCTTTGGCAGCATCCAGGGCTCATGCCAACTTCGTGTGCCAAAACACCAGTAACCTTAGCCAGAAGAGGATTCCACAGAAAAGCCCATCACCCTCTCCATCAGCCCTCTGGCCTTCTCTCATATGTGTGCTTTTTTTTGGGTTTGGCTCATCTCTTGTTCTCTCCCTTCATTTCTCCAGCTCCATTCTTCCTCCTTGCCTTCATTACAAGTTTCTCTGTGGGTATTACTCTTCTTTCCTTGCTTGATCCATCCTTTTCTCTCTGCTCATCTTTATTTTTTCATTATTGCCCCATATAAATCCTCAAACTCCCCACATCTCTTTCT